AACCGTTATTACAAACAACATGTATTCGTTTTGATGAGAAGATCCCTAGAATAGTAGAATTAGGAGAGTGGATCCAGTCAATAACCTTGTAGTCAATAATTATGCATAACCCAATCAGAATTCGTCATATCAGCGCCCCTTCTCTCTCCTGAAAAGGCTTTAATTTTCCCCCCTTAATCTTTAATGGACGATTTCTCACTCGTTTTAAGTCGAAATTTAATATTTTGCACAGTTAGATCAGATTAATTGTGCTCTTCAAAATGATATCCACTTTGAAATATTTTTGGAACAAAAAAATTGAGCCATTTACTGGTACTGAAATAAGAGCATACCTTTGGTATGAAAAGCATACCATGGTGGTATGCACAAACCAAGACTGTAGGATAGTTAAATACATGATGGTAGACGTATATTAACTGTCATTTACGGCTTTTAACATTGTGTCGCACAAGATACCACCCCGTACCAGGATGGTATTGTGTGGTATTTTTTGGTTCTGTATTTTGCTCACCCAGAAATTTGTAGATCCAATAGATCATAATGAACTTGTTCCTTCTGTGCAAAATTTTTCAAAAACGAATTAAAAACAAAGAAGATACCATATGGTATGTAGTTGGTATCGAGAAACACGAAAAAAATTTCTATAAAATATTGAAAATGGATCTCATATTGTAGAGCACAACGAACTCGTTCCATCTGTGCAAAAAATAGAATTCCAAGTTAAAACGAAAAAGCTATGAGTCGATTAAGAAAACATGGGAAAAATAAAAATGTCTTTAATTCTCCACCCTTAGATCTGGATTTTCTGAGTCCAGATTTAATTACTGATGGGTGCATAACCCATGGTTATGCACCCTATCTTGAGCCTGGAATTAGGGTTTCATCATAAGGAAAGAATGGAGGATAAGGAGATGATGTATATATTTAGAAAAGGAGGAAGACAAGTAAATTTTCAAATGAATTCATGCAGTGGCGGGCCCAGAAAATTTATTAAGTGTATTCAATAAAAAAATCTAAATAAAATTAAATATTAATTCACAAAGTATTTCATAAAGTACATAAATTTGTTGTTTTTCTTTACCGTGAATCGCGACGTATTTTTTATTTTAAAAAATTTATATGATATATAAAAATAATGGCAAAACATAAAAACGTAAGTATTTTAAGTTTTAAAATGCGATTTTGATTATATTAGTAAAGAAAAAGTGCGACACTATATAGAAGCATTTTGGTACCCATAAGTGTAAAAAGCATAAAATTTTAAATTTTAAAGTGTGATTTTGATTGCATTGGTTCTCGCAATAAATTGGGGAATTGTAATTGTGAATGATAATTTCTAATTTTTGGAGTCAAAGGCGACGGTCGTTGGCGGAGAATTTTATTCTCTTTTTTACTTGGAAGAGTTTTTATTCTCCAAAGAGGAAAATAAATTTTAATTAAAAATTAATGAGATTTTCTTAGGCAAATAGGTTTGGGAATTAGGAATTAATTTGACTCCTCATATATTTTCTTTGTATTTGTATAACAACAATTGGATGGTGGTGCAATGAAAATTTGAATTTGAAAGTCCAAAGGGTTGTCAAATTGATTAGGGTTCAAATTCAATCAACAACAATGTATATTTTAACATAGTAAATTTGGTCCATTTTATTGCTTAAGGTTTGTCAATTGACAACCCTTAGCAAGGAAGGGGTCTGCCCTGAATTCATTTGTTGAGTATGTTATGTTTAAATGTTTAGAGATTAAATGAATTGAATTCTTAAATCATGTTTGACATATGTTCAGGAAATTAATAATTAATTATTTAGAAATTAATAATTACAGATAATTATATTATTTTATCATACTTAGTAAAATACTTGTAGAATTCATTTGAAAATTCAAAATCAATTCCTCATAATTTGTATAACTAAATCCAATTCTATAGATTTAAAAATTATTATTTGAAATTAATTTTTTTATATACCAAACACAAAAATATTTCATTTCAAAATGAATTTTCTGAAAACTTATGGAATTTGTTTACGAAAAACGATATGTTATTCTTCAAACCCGTTAACAAATGGGCCATAAATATTAGGGTTATAGTAGGTATAAATGATATACCTCTATAGCATTTATTTTTATCAAATATGTTTCTCTATTATTTTTACATGAAAAAATATTTGTGTACTTTAAAAACATCATCAAACATGCATCTCTACTAAAATTTTCATCAAAAAATTGTTAATCACGGTCAAACTATGATTTGAGCAATCTTATTGTCCAAAATATCCTTAATAATTTCACTTTTATTTTTTATTTTTTTATAGGCCAATATACCATGATTTTAACAACACTTAGAGAAATAAGTGGAGGTGAAAATTGACATTTTCCTTCCCAATTTGTCAAGATTGAAATTTTTGAACCACAGTACGATTATGGTTCACGATGTTTTGGATGAAAATTTGAACAGAGTAAAGTGTTTGATATATTTATAAAGTACAAAGATATAATTGACGAAAATAATAGTTTTTTTTTTACAAGGTACAAAGATATAATTGACGAAAATAATAGTTGAGAGTTATATTTGATTAAAATGTATAGTACACGAGGTATATAATATAGGGGTGGAACCGTGGAAGTATACTAGCACACAATGCAGTCAAAATCGCGCTTTAAAACTTAAAAACTTACGGTTTTACGCTTCTAAAACACTAAAACGCTTTCGTTTCCATATAAAATCTTAAGTGTATAAAATCGGGACTGAAATGCGCTTTAAAGCTTAAAAAGCTTACGCTTTTACGCTTCTGGTTCACCAAAACGCTTTACGCTTTTACGCTTCTAGTTCACTAAAGAAGTATTCTATTCACGAAAATACTTATATTTTACAGGTAAATCACAAAAAATATGTTATATTTAAGATTAAAAGATACATATCAAGTACTTTGGTGCATTCTTAATTTCAATAGAGTAATCTACTGCACCAACTAGGCCCTTCCCAAAATCACTAGCTTAGAGGGGAAGGTAGCTTATGGTTAAGATATATGTTTATGAACTTATTGTTAAAATGTTATGAGTCTCTCAACTTTAGACATGAATTACAGGTATTTATTAACTTATCTAAACTATGTGCACTCATATTTTACATAGTATATGTCGTACTTAACACATTTTCCGTTATTTTACAGTATGCGTCAAAAACTTACGTTTTTACGCTTTGATTCTACGGTTTACGATTTTACCCATTTTCCGCTTCTAGATAGAATCGTGCTTTTGACTGCATTGCTAGCCCATGCAAATATGCAATTCAGAGTTTATTTTTATAAAACGGCAGATAAAGACAGTGTTTATTCCAAAGGGGCCGTCGGCTGCCGTTTGCCCAGAATGATAATGTCGGCCGGCAATGTCCCGACCATTTGCCGGTTTGCTTTGTCCCTTTTCTTGTCATCATAGTCCGGTAGCCGACAATGGCTTTTGTCTTTCACTATCTTTTTTAGTCATTCAAGTTACATACTTGCTCAGTAAGAGGCGAGGCCTAACCTATTTGTAATGATTTATTTGTTCGTTTATGGGAATGTTGTTTTTTAGGAATGCCCTCTCGCTCTCAGCCAGGAGCCCAGTACCACAACATGTTTCAAGTTGAACTGTTCAACTAATTATCTATTATAAGAGGAATTTTAGTATTGTTGTTATAAATTTTTTTTATGTTATGATTTGAAATTGTATTTTTAACGTTATGGTACAACTTTAGATTATATCTATATTCGTTTATACAAATTCTTTTATGATATAATTTGAACTTGTATCTTTATGTGATGGTACAACAACTTGAAGTTGTACGGACAAGTGTATAGATTTCTTTATAGTACAATCTAAATTTATACATTTAACGTTATGGTATAATTCAAGTTAGTACATTAATGCAACAATGCTTTATAGTATAGTAGTAGAAGTGCTCCTATTATAATGCATCGATCGGCTCCATATGCTCAAGCTCAAGTGGACGACGACTGTCGACTGGCCATTCTACTTCCTGGCAGGGCAATTCCCCTGTGCACATCTAATCTAATCTCCATGTAATTTTCTTTAGTTCTTTTATTATTTTATTAGATAACTAAGTTAAAATACTGGCTTCGCTCCTGCTTCCAATGAGAACATAAGGAATGTTTTTATGCAAAAATACACTATAATCTCTTATATTTTCTTCCCCGTCTCACATGCACCATATAGTTCAGCAGTTCTTGATCGCGCAACTAAAAACTCTTCAGAATGTTGGATCAAAGCAGAATGGCATTTTCCTATATATTTAAAAAAAAAACAGAATGGCATTTCTATAAATAACAATATTACAAGGATATCCTGCATACCCCTACACCGGAGGATGACTAATTAATAAATTTTGTTGGTGTTTTTTAATCTTCCATCCGTCCAATAGTTGTTAGATCAAGCAAAATTGCATTTCTATTAATATTATACAGCAATTTATATGTTTACTTTAGCGAGAGAGGAAAAAAAACAAAAACAAAACTAAATCGTAGCTTAGAATAGGACAATATGGAAAACATTAACACATTGACGATACTCTTTAAGCAGTGTTATTAAAGTCGAGTCGAGCCACTCGGCCCGATCGGTAAAACCGCCACCCGGTCATAAAACCGGCTCGGAACAGTCTAAAAGTCACTCCAGTTTTATGTAGCGGTTGACGAGCGGCCGAGGCGGTTAACCGCTCGAGCTTATCGAGGCGCTCGTCCGGTTTTTGCCATTCAGCCGTTAAATTTAATTAAACAAATTGCAGAAAATTGAAATAAACCAAAAACGTCGGTCTCTCAAACTGAATCCTTATTTCCATTTCTCAATTTCGAAGGAAAGAGACGAGCTCTGATTAACAAATGTCCACTATTTATATTGATAACGTTTATTAGATACAAATTCTCTGACGGTTTTTAAACGATCTAATATCGGTTGGACTATTAAAGTGCGAGCCGTTCGCATTACCAGATCATGCTCCGTTTCGGTTCTGACAACATTGTTTTTAAGCTGTTATTATCCCGCAATGACATCAAATTGCCACCAATCAATGGGCTACAATAGTGGAGGGTTGCGAACAACCTTCCTTGCATCGGAAGCAAAGAAAAACGACAGCTGAAACATTAATCGCAATTAGGCAGCTCCTGACTATAAAATCACAACATCATTGTCCTATTTTTGAATTTTAATTCAAAGTTCTTGACGTTTTGTGAGAATCCTTATTAATCAAATCAGAAAATGACTTCTCCTCTGATCTTGCCTTGTCTTCTTTTCTCTTTCGTTTTCCAACTTGGAATGCCTTTTTCCTCCCTGAAATTCATATATATTCCACCTCTTAAAAAAAATTCAAACAATAAAATGTCACCAACTCTGATAAAACACAAAAATAAATAAAAAGAAGGCAACCTTTGTCTAATATATTGTGCCCCTCGATGGACAGCCCAGATCGCTTCACGCGAGCAATAATCACAAAGTATTTCATATAGAGAATATATCTGCCATTGTCTGCAATCCCCTCAAGGGTTTAGCTCTTACCTCTAATTTTCTAAACCTCTGAACACCCTTATCTCAATTTAACCAATTCAAAGAAAACTGATTGGGACAAGGATCAGGAGTCCAGCGGCAGTTTGCCAATCTGCAGCCAGCTCTGCGATCACGATGACTGAATCAACTATAATAAAGCAACTAGACAGCGTTCTCGCCAACTACCACAGTGAACTTCATCTTAATATAATCTGATTTCTTCAGAAGGTAGGAAAATGGAACTCTATATTATAACGGAGCATGAATGGCACAGACAATACCCCTTCACCAACCTTCAGAAGAGGTCAACTTGTGGGAGCAAGCCCCTGCACCCTGCTCGACTTTCTTCTTCAATCGGGGCTACCCTCTCTTTGTCTTGTTCCTAGCATAAAATTGCAGTCAGTTTTCTTTGTTAATGCAGTAGATGGTCGAAATACAGCATCTTCTATACGGGAAAAAATCAGTCTCTAAGAACCTGAGAGACAATTTACGAGTTATAAGTAACAATCTATCATCATAGCAGCAAATTTTCAATGGTGCAATATCCTGACCTTTGATATTACTGAAGAACATCTTCAAAGTTGGGACATTTTCTGAGTTCTTTCCCAATCTGCTGTCAACTTTAAAACACTTGAACCTGCTGGTGCTTTCATTTCAAGAGGCCGAACAGAGTGCATATCTAGCATTACCTACCGATCACCCCAACTATAACCAGGAAGCTTTCTTATTTGGTTCTCCTTCATCATATCTCTAATCACGGCTGAACTCGCCCAGTCCCCAGAAGTGGCAAATATTCCAGATAGTTGTGTGTATGCACTAGCATTCCCTGGGTCGAGCTCAATGATCCGCTCTGCCACCTTCTCTCCAAGGTCATTATCTCCATGAGCAACACACCCTCTCAAAACTGAGGACCACATGCAAGCATCTGCCTTAAAAGGCATATGATCAATAAGTTTCATCGCTTCCTCTATCCTTCCAACACGAGCCAGGAGATCGATCATGCAGGAATAGTGCTCAATCCCTGGGTCGATATTATACCGATGCCTCATCTCATGAAACCATTTCCATCCTTCTTCAACCAATCCACAATGATCGCAAGCAGAAAGAATGGCTGTAAATGTAATCCCGGATGGTGCAACACAGTTGTCTCTCATTGCATTGAAAAGTGACAGCACTTCTGTTCCCTGGCCGTTGGTAGCATAACCCATCAGCATCGAATTCCAACATACCGAGTCAAGTTTCAACGTCGCGTCAAATATTTTCCTCCCACTTTCTACAAACCCACACTTGCAGTAGAAATCAACAAGGGAGGTAGAAACGGCAGGATTGGAGTCAAGACCACTACTAGTTGCTCTAGCAAACACCTGCTCTCCAAGTTCAATGGAGGAGACATCAGCACAGGCAATGACAACACTAGCGAGACTAAACTCATCCATCCTCAACCCGAGCTTATTCATCTCAAGGAAAATATTCAGAGCTTCCATTGGGCAACCATTTTTGCTCAAAGCCACAATCATTGAGTTCCAAGATATCAAGCTTTTGAATGGCATTGTCTTGAAGATATGCTTTGCATCTTCAATTCTACCACAGTTGCTATATATTGTGATCATGGAGTTCAATAAGACCGTATCAAATACTTTGAGCTCAGTAAACAATTTGCATGCTTTGTATGCATTTCCACTCTTTGAGTAAGCATCGACTAGGGCAGAAGCAGCAACAACCTCAGCCATCAACCCAGCTTTACTAGCATATGCATGAATCTGTGTACCAAGATTATAGTTCCCCACAGTACTACAGGAGCTTAATATACTGGCGATTGTGGAGGAGTCTAGCCGAATTTCTCTTGTCCTCATCTGATTGAAACATTTTACTGCTTCGTTGTCGACACCATTGGCAACATATCCAGAAATTAATGAATTCCAAACCACAGTGCTTTGATTACTCGTCTTTTGAAGTAGTCTCTGGGCCTCTTCCATTCTACCGTGACTAGCATATCCTGCAACCATTGCAGAGAGAGAGAAGTCATCAGGATCCCCCATCGTATTCAGAACCAAATTTGCACTATCTAAATCACCACATTTTGCATAGAAATTAGTCAATGAGCTAGCCATTACTGTATCAAATTCCACACTATTGATTAGAATCCGTGCATGAAGTTGCTTGCCACAGTCAATAGCTCCCAAGTCGGTACAAGCCCTGATAACAGTGGCCAACACAAAACTATCAGTGCTTGATCTTTCATAAGGATCCCTACTCAATGTCCCAAACAGTTTGACAGCTTCAACAGAACGCCCGGTTTTAGCATAACCATGAATCATAGAATTCCAAGCCACCCCATCCCTCCTCGGCATCTCGTCAAACAGTTTCCTAGCAGTTCCAACATCACCGGATTTGGCAAGACCAGAAACAACCACATTCCAAGAGTAATCGTTCTTACAGGGCATTGAGTCAAACAGTTCCAGCGACTTTCCCTTGTCCCCGGAGTTCATAGAGCCTTCTATCATTGTGTTCCAGGAAAAGCAGTTTCTCTCGGACATTTCATCGAACAGTTTGTGAGCATCACTAAAGCTATCACACCTAACGTACATCTGCAGAAGCCGATTAGCTAGAGAAACAGTCGAGTTAAGGAGACCTTTTTTGAAGAACAGGAGGTGGAGCTGTTTGCCTTGTCGGATCGATTGAGGGGTGTTAATAGATTGGAGTAAGCGAGCCAAAGAGTGGAGCTCGGCTTCCATTGAAACCGAAAGACCTGTACTTGACTTTTTGGAAAAGACCGTTCCCCTAAAAAAGTTGAACTGTTTCTACCAAAAAAAAAAAAAGTTGAACTACTTACAGGATTTTTTGTGAGTAAATACTTACATGGCCCAAATGCAATTTACCTTTGGTCTAGCCGTGATTCAAATGTGGAGGGAGACAGCCTCATAAGTGAGCCATTATGCGCTTTTTTTTTTTTTTTCAAAGTTGAGACACGGAAATTGTACCTGTAGTTATCAAAGTACAGAATCTGTACATGTAATTATCAAAGTATGCAGCTCCAAGAACGAACAATAGAAAGATTGTTTAGGGGTTTTGTTTGTTTGGGATATGATGGAATTGAAAGTGCAATCTCAACCCAAAATGGGAGAAGGCTCAATCAGTATAAAAGATAGAATCTCAACCAATCAAGGGGAAAACTTGATTGATACAGAGAAAAGTTCAAGTCTCAAGCTCAAAACCAAGATAAAAATCAATATTCTGTTAAAAACTAACCCTAAAACCCGAGTCTCAACCTTTATATTGGTCTGGACAATTAAAAATAATAAAAACAACTTAAAACACAAAAATCTCGTCGGCCAGACCCGAAACCCGGTCTAAATACCCGGTCGGGTATTTTGGATCTTAGGTCGGGGTCAAATCTACAGAATAAGGGAAGAACCGAGATATTAATAATGTTGTCACATAAGCAAGCCCAAGAAGCCATAGTCTCGAGCTTCGACAAAACTGCCATGTTTCTGCTGTCGCCGGTGACCATATGGATGGAAAGAAGTAAAGCACGACGACGGCGACGATCCACATCATCAATCTGAGTTTAGCCTCAAGAGTATTTTCTAGCACGACGACTCTATCTATGATGCCTGACTCATCAGCTGTGTTTCCAATCAAGTCTTTTGCCACTTCTAAAGTTCTTAGTCTTTTCTCCTTCTTCTTCCTGGGTTGTGAATTCTATTTGAACTTGTTAATCATCAGGTGCTGCAACTATCGTTGACTCTGCCATACTCCTTCCCCAAATGAAGATGCTTTCAGGGATAATATTGCTGCTCTTCTACGGTATCATGGATAGTTGATGGCTGTCGAGATGGGAGTCGGGGAGCGAGGAGCCGAGAAATTAATTTGAATGAAATTAACATTAAATGAAGGCATTCAGAGAATTAATTCCACAAATATTGTTTTTTTTTATTTTACCACCAATATTGTTGTTTAAAAACTATTTACACACATATTGTGTTTTGATGAGGGTTAGTAGGGAGCCCGCCCGAGACTCAGGCGGACACGCTTTACGAATTTTTTAAAAATAATTTGAATGTCTAGACTCAGGCGCACTTCTCTTGGTTGTTGAATGTCCAAATTTCAACGACCACCGATGGCGCCCCAGACTTAGGCGTGCTTGATGGCCATCGGGGGCGCCTGAGACTGCGGCGGGTTCGCTGCCCTACACACCCACTCCAGCACCATATATTCACAGCGATTTTCATTTCAATCTCACACCACCACCAAAGTTAGACGAAAGAAGCTCTCATTGCTGCTGCAAAGATGGCTAATAGATAAGAGACACATTTATTTTTTTTTTAATTATATTCTTCAAATGCTAATTATGATTTTGCTTAGTAGTAAATTTAGTGAGTTTTTTTTAATGTAGTGATTTTAGAAGATTTGAACTAGTCGTTCGGTGGAAATAGAAGAAAGTAGAGGATAATTTGGGTGTCCATTTCGTTGGTGGTAGAATTTTTCAGTTGACGGTGCCATCCAGGGTGACATATCACAAACTTTGAGAGAATCTAATTCAGAGAATAAGGCGTAATGAGGAAATAGTACAAGATAGTGATGTGATAACAGGTTTCACTTACCGTCTTCCAAAATGGTGTTTTATTTCATTATGCGATGCCTATTGTTGATGATGGTAGCTTGAATGCGCTTTGGAATTTTATGGCACAAAACCCTTATTGTTTGGGTGCTGAGATACAAGCTGAGCTTAGTGAAGATCGGGGTGGAGAGGAAGAAGATGAGACATGGAGCATGCCATCCGATCATGACGATGTTGATGGAGAAGAGGAGGAGGAGGAGGAGGAGGAAGATGAGGAATGAGAGCAGCCTAATTATCCTCAATATTTTTACTTGCAGGGTAATGAGGAGGAAGAGGAATTATCATATGTTGATTCATATGGAGTAATTCCAATGCCTATTGTTGCTGGTTTTGAAAGAGAATTCTACAAGGGGCAGATATTTCACTCAAAATAAGCTGCACATGTGGCGATTAAACACCACGCACTACAACGCAACTTTCAGTATAGCGTGGTGGAGTCGTCACCTTCAATCTGGAAGGTGAGATGCTTGAATCACAAGGATGACAATTGTCCTTGGATGGTGCGGTTTGGATGTCGAGATGTTGGAAGCGAATGGACTGTGAGAAAGGCCGAATTGGTGCATTCTTGTAGCAGTACGACTCAACTGATAGATCATCGCCATCTTGATGTCGACGTTATATCCGAGTCCGTGAAACATTTGTTACGTGCCCAACCAAATTTTAGTGTTTTGGCTGTGCATGCCGGATTGAAAGATAAGTTTAATATGCAAGTTACTTACAAGAAGTCTTGGTATGAGAAATAAAGAGAATTGGAGAAGTTGCATGGAAATTGGAAAGAATCCTACGATTATTTGCAAAATTCTTGCGGGTGGTAAAGAGAAAAATGCCAACATCAGTGATTGATTGGGTAAGAGTTCCTTCATCGCAACCTGGTCATTTGATCTTTCAACGAGTATTCTGGGCTTATGGACCTTGTATAGATGGATTCAAGAATTGTCCAGAAGTCATGGTTGTTGATGGAACATTTCTTACTGGAAAGTATAAAGGAGTGCTACTCATGACGAGCTCATTTGATGGTCGGAAGAAGATTTTTCCAATTGCATTTGCCATAGTAGAGAGCGAGAATACTGATAGTTGGCCATGGTTCATAAGTCACGTTCAAGGTTTGACCGATCAAAATGATGTCTCCGTCCTCGGTAATCTGCGCCCCCGTCTCTATATGTAGTGGTGTTGTATGAGGAAATCGCTCCCACACCCAGAGTTGTAGTAAGGCAGACCATCCACCAAGGTCGCCACCTAGTGAAGAGGACTGCGTCATTTGCAGCACCAACCTACCTGTCTTATGATACATGTAAGATAAAATAACTGCTCCCCAGGCGAACCTCTCAGCTCTTTGCCAATCCTCCACCAACATTAGGTACCGTAGATGAACTGAACCTCCAGACCGATCGGGGAACAATACTCCTCCCATCAGAGATAGAGCATAAGCTCGTGCAAACTGCTATGTAGTCTCTGGTGATGCATCTGGAAACAGTTGATCGAATGTATCCCTAAGCCAAACAATCCTAATGATACCGCCGGAAAGATCAGTACGAGCCCAACCTAACAGTCGAAGACACGTCTCCGACCAGTCCTCGTCTGGTATGTCTACTATGACGGCATCATCGTCGATCGCTAGACCGGTCAGGGTCGCCACGTCCTTTAAAGTGATCGTCACCTCACCAAATGACATGTCAAAGGTCGATGTCTCAGGTTGCCAACGCTCTACTAGCGCAGTAATCAAACCCGGATCAGCAGTAATAGGGACCAATGGCATAACCCTAAACAAGCCCGCCTCGAGGAGGTATGTCTGATAACGTGAATAGTATCTGACTAAATTGCTCATACCTTGAATATGGTAAGGTCGATCACCAGGGTAAAGTGCACAAAACTTATATTAATTCAATTTTATGCGTACTTCTAAATTCAGTTCACCTAGTATTTATATATCTAATATAAACTTATTCTAATTTTAACATGCGTAATTCTATTCTAATTCCAGTTCAGTTCACCTAATAAAAAAGCTATAGAAGTAGTTGAAGAACTTACCTCGTTTGCCCAAACTGAGTCAATACGATGGTGCCCATGTCTCCAAAGAAGTACCGGATCCACCGGAGTTGTATCAATTTCAATTGTCGCAGGTGGTGGTCTCATAAAATAACTATCCATAAGCCTAGGAACTGGAAAAAAAATTAATCAGTACATAAAAAAAATATAAACTAAATTAAAAATAGCCTCGCCGCCAGCCAGAAATTCGGCCGTCGTCGGCGAACACCTCATCTCGGTAGCGGTTGCCGCCGCCACGACCTCGACCTCGCCGCCCTCTCCTCCTTCCTCTGTCGGCGATTGGTTCCTCATCGTCGTACATTCTCCCCACTAGATCTGCTGCTCGCTGGGAGATGCGGGAGGAAGAAGGAAGATGAATGGAGAAATCGGCTGTAGCTGAGGCGAGGCCGCTTGGAGTCGGACGGGACCCCTGGAAGGAGAAGCGGTGGTTGTTGGTTGTGGTTTCTGGGAGAGGATATGATAAGATGCGAGTGGAGGGGAGGCAAAGTTAATAGGGGTAAGGGCGCCCCGGCCTCATACTCGGGCGAGAGTGCCCTGCAGCGGCTCTACCTGAGTCTCGGGCGGGCTCACTTCTAACCCTGTACAAAACACAATATGTGTCTAAATAGTTTTTAAATCACCATACTGGTGGTAAATTTTTAAAAAAAAAAACAATATTTTTGGAATTAACCCGCATTCGGTCAATTTCGAGTCCACTAAACGAATAATTAACAGAATTGGATGTAAGGATATATTTGTTACGTTTTAATAGTAGAATGGTATATTCGTGCAAAAATTTAATAGAGCCGTTCATTTGTAATTTACAACAGTATAGGGTTATAGGGATACATTTGTACAATATACTACTATGGCTCGTCATCGGCAGTATGTGTATCACTTGCGAGAATGGTCGGAGCTTTGGCCAGCTGGCCCCTCCTCCCCAGGTGGCTCCTCGCATCGGAGTTCTTGCTGACGAGGTCGGCTCGCAGCTGTTTTGTTTTGTGGATGGGGCTATCAGCACTGGTTCACATGGGGGAGGGGGGGTTCGTGGTTCAAGATAGGTCGGTGGGTATTCTCTTTGTGCAGGGGTTTATATCCACAGGCTTGGATGATCCGTACTTTGTGGAGATGGCGACTTTTTCGAGATGCAATCTGTTGGTGCTCCTTTAAGGGTCTACACGAGGTTGTATTCCAAGGAGATGCTCAGGTCGTGATCAGTAAAGTGCGGGATGATGTGCTTATGGATGCTAAGGGTGGAGTCTTACTCAGCGAGATTCATCAATGGTAGCGAAGTTTTCATAATTTCTCAATCCGGTTTATAGGTAGGAATAACAATGGAGTGGCACAATTGTTAACTAAAACAGCCATTTTCTTGTTTCCTATGCGTTTGTCAGGTTTTGATTTTCGCGCCTAGGCGAGTTCTGTACTATAGACGGTCTATCTTTCTTCTTGTTAATACAAGTGATCTATTGAGAAAAAAATATATATGGGTACAAAATCTATTAACCAAAGAAAAGATATCTCTTCTCCATTCAGACCATTCACGTCCACCGTATACAGAACTCCCTGCAAATGACCAATCCCACCCATTTAAAAAAAAACCCACATCAGGTCCGTTAGGGTGCAGCCAGAAGCAGACCTGGAAGAGATTAAATCAGCTTACCTGCGGCTATCCAAAGAGTACCATCCAGACACAACATCACTCCCTTTGAAAGCTGCTTCAGAAAAGTTCATGAGGCTGAGAACAATCTATGCTGCCCTTTGCGACCCCGAGACACGTAGATTCTATGACTGGCCGCTTGCACAAGAGCCTAGTAGCAGGCAAGCTGAGAAGATGAGGTTGAAGTTGGAGGATCCCAGGGAGCTGGATTTCACCAACTACAAATCGGTTCCTGATATGGTTGATCGACTTGGAGGGATAAACTTGGAACTGAGCGATCAGGGGATGACGGCTCTTACATTTGATGCTCTTATCCTTATTTTTGCTCTTGGCAGCATTGTTTCTGTGCTGGTGTTCAAGGAGCCATATAACTAGATTTTGGCATGAATGCTATGCACCATACCAAATACATTTACAGGTTTCATATCAAACCAACCAAAGTAGAGTTGGAAAGATCATATGAGCAACAGCTAAACTGGAATGCTTATGTTCTGAAATTCACACACTATGAAGAACCAATCAGCAATCAAAGACACCACAGAAATGGAAAGACTATCAGGAATCTAATAGACTTTACAGGCTTGATTGACAATGCAATTCAACTGAAAATTGATAAGTTGTCAACTAACCAATAGTAATGAACTGAATACTAATGCTGCTAACCAAACAAAGATTAAAAATTTACAGGGAAGAACCATTGCTTCTTTTTCTAATCATACAATATAATCCCAGGAATTTCTATCGCTGATATTCAGACCTCTCAGACATATTCTGTTTAACAGCAGAAGCTATGTAGCATGCACAGTCAATCACCACGAAAACTGTCCTAAATTTCCAATCGATTCATCCATATCAGGCTGAGAGATATATCATCATATTTCACACGGAAAAATGGAAAAAAAAATTCAAGGACATTACTAAATCTGGTCGTCACTTAACTAAAAACCATGGAGCGCCATCCAAGCAATTAGCACAACTGAGGAAGCTGCAATGGCCAATTGGCAACTATGGTTGCACATCATTACAAACTTAAACAGGTAAAACAGTGTGCTTGTTCCTGAAGGAAACAAGCATGTTCTAGATGACTTGGACAGGCATTTGCAGCAAACATCTTACATTTTAAATGTTAGAGCAACTAACATCTTGGCATCATTCTTTTCAATAGAGTCTGTTGTGCTGACTGAATTATAAGTATAACGAACCCGATACCGAACTAATATGCCCACAGGAAAACAGCTAAGCATACCAACAAGTTGAAGTGAGAACTAGACATTTCCTTAGAGAAGTCGGTTGTGAATTTGAACCTGATACAAATTTCTGCAGAGACACTTCGAGGAATCACATATATCAAATACTCCTCTTCCTTTCCATATCACGACCAGATCGATTTCACCAGAAGGTAAAGATGGTTCAGTGAACACCATTGAATCCAATTTATTAGGAATATAGCAATGCAAAACCAGAAAGGATTGGAACCTCCTTTGAGCTTATACAGTAACTAACTAAGCCAATCAACAAAAAAGATCCGAACTTTCGAAAGCATCGTCTACTTCACCATTTAGCAAATCTCCCTCAAATAACCTCAAAGGGGGAGCAAGAATACACGATTAAACAAGAAAACCAACCTCCATAACTTCAACGATCAATTCTTCAATCTTCCAACTGTTTGACTTCAGCCTTCAACTGCTCCATCTTGAGCCCCATCGACCTCTGCACGGCGCCCCTCTCGCTCTCCGGCAACTTCACGAGAAGCGAGTCGTACAAGCGCAGGACCTCGTTCACCGCATCTCTCGCACATTCAGCTTCTTCGTCGAAGTAGACAGTCTCCTTGGAGTCCATAGCCATCTCCAGCTCCTCTCTGGCCTCTGCGAACTTGAGATTTATCGTGTCTACTTCCCTGTCCACATCCAAATCCGACCCCGAGCTCCACCTCCTTGCCGTGCCCGTACGCGGTGGCTGGGTTCGGGGGTTCCGGTGAAATGGGGGCGTCGGAGTGTAGAGATTCCCTGTGATGCCGGTGGGGACGAGGTGAAATTGTCGGAGGAGCTTGACGAATCCATGAGGCGGAGGGATTGAATCCGGAGAAAATGGAAGCTGAGGGGTCCGACAATAGGGTTGGACAAGGGATTTGCAGAGAGAAGGCCGTAATCGTCTATGCATTCTTGACGTTTGATAATGTGCCTCGATAGAGCTTTTAGCAAGGGAAGCGAGGAAGAGGAAAGTGGGGAGGAACCTGAGACTGACGCTTTCTTTTGTTGGGGAAAGTCTCTGGAGCTTCCTGGGCCTGGCCTTCTCCACAGTAGGTTTTCAGCCCGTCTATCTTACCGAGGCCCAAATGTTTCGAGGCTAACCATGGATATTACAGGTATAGGTGTCAAAATAGAACCCGACCTAACTAATCTGGCCGATCAACCTGAGCTGCAATCCGACTGTAATCCGAATTGAATAAAAGTTAACAACTCTTAACCCCTCGACCCGCAACCCGATTCTCACACAACCCGACTAACCCGCAACCCGACTGACCCGCAACCCGATTAACCCAAACCCAATTAAACCCGTAAATCGATTGACTCGAAACCCAAATGACCCGCAGCCCGATTAACCCAAACCCAATTAAACTCGTAACCTGATTGACCTGAAACCCGACTGACTCAACCCGAACTTCACCTAATCTATTTGAATAATTATTATATTATATAATACATAGTTTTTCATTCTAAAATTAGGTAAAATTATTTCTTCATTTCCTACAGGAATTTTGAAAATATAAAACTCACTTGATATTATGTATTTTAAGAAATTACAAAAATGAAATCATGAAGGTCATTTGAACACTAAGTTCTTTAACAAAATTAAAAAAGTAAATATGCAATATAAAATCAGCACAATGCGAATATTGATAATGAATAATTAATAATTGAGATCATGGACAATATTAATATAATATGTAAATTAAAATTTTGATTAATTTAACTATTCAATAAATTTATCAAATAAATATAAATAAAGTAAAACAATGTATTTGATGATTTGATGCTTATAAAAGAATATGAAAATTTTGGTGTATTCAACTTTTTGGGAAGAGAAAGAAGAGAAAAATTAGATTTTTTGAAATTTTTAGAAAAGAAAAAAATGAATTTTGCTGGTTTTGATTTGTGGGAAGTGAAAAAGTGGGAAAGTTTGGTTCTTTTGATTATTAAAGAGAAATAAGGAGGAAAATTTTGAGCTTTCAACTTTATGTGAAAGGACGAGGAAAATTTGGTTCTTCAATGGAAGAGAAAGAAGAGGGAAAATTGAGTGTTTCTAATTTATGGAAAGAGAAAGAAGGAGAATTTTTGTATTTTAATTTTTTGTGAAAAAGAAAGAAGAAAACAAATTTGGTGTTTACAACAATCATTTATTTTAGAAAAATTCATTTAATTTGTCTACTTATTTACTATGCTTCTACATTTATTGCAATTTCAACACTACATGATCGTTATTTTACAACACTTAGTAAAATTTTCGCACATTTAAGTTGTGTTAAAGTTGAACTTTTCATTTCAAAATTGGTGTTAAACTTGGTCTGTTAAGTCTTACGATTGCAATAACTCAGTCGAGTTGCGGGTTTGAAAATTTTGGTTAATCAGGTTGCGGGTCACTTTGGAATGGAAAATGAGACGGAGGTTTGGGTGAGAACTTTGGAATGGGAAATTTATGGGCGGGTGAATATGAGCCAACAATTATACTAAACTTTATAAGTAATTTTTGACGGTTCATTGTTTAGGGTATAAAGTATATGGTTAGTGTATAGGGTATAAGATACAGATTGTTTAGGGTGTATATGGTTAGGGTATAAGGTATTGATGGTTTTGACGGTTCTAAGTTTTTTATTAACATATGTTCATTTGAAGTCATTTAAAATATTTAATGGCAGGAAATCCCTTTTTAATTTATGTTTATGGTACGTGCTTAGGGTACAGGGTATATGATGTAGAGTATAGGTCATATGGTTAGGGTATAGCAAATATCACTTTTTTATCTATGTTTCGAAAATCAAAGTATGAATTTCACTTTAAATTAACTATACTAGCAAAATCACAGCTCATAGAGATATATGGTTAGGGTATATGGTATGTTGTTAGTGTATAATATATTGATGGTTTAGGGTATACGATCAACAACATATATTAACTTAATATTGTCGATTGAGAGTAAGGCTAAGTGTATATGATATATGTTATTGAGTAAGTTATGATTGAAGTCACAACAATTTTACTAAATTTGATAGTTAATCTTTAATTGTTCAATTTTTAGGGTAATTCGAACAATTTTACAAATAACTCGTTTGACAACAGTTTATTAGGGAAATGAGTTATTTCGGAATAACTCCTTTTACCACTCTGCTTTTGCCAAATACCACACGCCAAATACCAGATTTTCATGATTATACTAAACGAGATACTATAATCCAATTACTACTATTAAAATACCAAATAAATAACTAATGGTGTCTTTTGGTTGCAAATGTTGATATAACCATTACTATCAGCTAGTGTACTTTACCAATTATGATTAATTGCATAACAAGTTTGCAAGTCATATAAATTGATTCAACATTTTGACTAGTTTTTTAAAAATTAAGTATATATACGAGTTAGAAAGAAATTGGTTAAAAATTGAGAAAAATATTTTAAATTATTGTAATAATTTGTGTAAATTGGTAACGAGTAAGGAGTAAGTTACTCGATGCGCTGACCCGACCAACCCGCAACCCGCCCGACCCAAAACTCGATGAACCCGTAACTCGATTTGCCCGCAACCCGTTTGAACCCGAACCCGATTGAACCCGGCCCGAACCCGCCCGATTGACACCTATAATTACAAGAACAACAACATTGTTTTTTTTAAGTTGGTGGTTCGGATATGGAAAACAGTTCAATCCGTTAGACTAGACCGCATTGAACTTGTTGTTTGAATTTTGGTGACGTGCAATTTGTTTCAACTGCAATTTGTTTCAACATATGTCAAGTATTTTTCATTAAAATTTATCAAAATAAACTAAAGACGTTATTCATTATAAGCTAACACATCTATAATAGTATTATTCTTATTGTATAAAAAACAATGTGAACCATAGCTTATATTGAATATGTCTAATATGAAAAAATATCATAATTCTCTCACAAGTATACATGTATAGACATAAATACATTTTGGGTACAAATAATCAGGACAATACTACAATAGTTGCGTGACAAAGGTTGGATCGGGTATCTATGGTTGCATAACTTAAAATCCACACTCAATCCATGAAAGACGAATTTCTCAAAAGAAAATTCTCACTAAAATAAATTTTAATTTTATCGATAAATACTAATAATTGAGTTAGGTTGAATAGATAAGTCGAGTTATAGTTATTTTTGTTCGCCCTACCCACGTGGCGAATTGTTCTTCACCAACCAGATAACTCCCACGTTATTGTCCTTGTTCCCTACATCCTTATATCCTTTTACTTGAGTCATCTATTCACTAATATATAATTTTTCCGCTTAACATTAAATAAATTACATCTCTTTCCTTCTACTTTAAAATTCAATTTTTTCCCACGGAAAATAAGAATAGTAATGTTCTTTACTATTATATCCATATTGATATATTTTTGTGCAAAAAATAGAACACTAACTATGACATATTTTAGCACGGTATACTATGCGGTATAGCTTGATGGTGCAGAAGATTATTATACCATAATGATACAAAATGTACAATAGTAGTAGAAATATACCATAGTGTACAATTGTGATATACATGGTGGTGAGCATATGCTAACCACCGTGCACACTATACTAGATGGTGGTAGGGAGGGGCTTGGGTGATAATAATTTTTTTGTTAGCATGGTGCTAATACTAGCTCTAGCCAATAGAAACATTTGGTTTGGATGGCTTTTTCATTTAAATGAGTTGACCACAATTAATGAGGGGGAAATGGAAGGAGGGGCACGCTTGGTATTATGAAAAATTGGGGAAGGGGATGAAGGAAGGAAGATGGACCACGAACCGGACCACAACCTCTTCCAACTTCCAAGCATGTCACAACCTCAAAGCAGGTCACTACCTTCTCAAAGCATGCCACAACCTCAAAGCATGTCACAACTTTCTCAAAGCATGCCACAACCTCAAAGCATGCCACAACTTCCTCAAGCATGCCACAACCTCAAAGCATGTCACGTGACAACCACAAAACATGCCACAACTTTATAAAGCATGCCACAATTAGTGGACCTATTTATAAATTTGAAAAATTTTAGGTACCAAAATGTAAGGAAAAAAGTGTCAGGTACTAAAATATAATTTTCCATCAATATTATTAGGACTGGAATGTAAAAAATATATTTTTTAGTACTAAATATTAGTACCTATTTAGTTCAGGTGCCAAAATTGTAATTTGTAAATGGAACCTAAAAAAGTTAGGTAAATGGAAGGGAAGGGGAAGGGGAAGGGGGAAGGAAAAAGTTGAATACATAAATACTATAATGTCATTAATAAAAGGTTTAATAAGTTGCTAAGTGTTAGCACCCTATCCACTTCCTATAAAATTACCCTAATAAATTATACTCATAATTATAGGTAACTAAATTCTTGCTAATTAAATAGGATATATATCCAACTAATTCTATTGCATGCAAATCATCGAATTTATCACGGTCTATGCTTAAACCCATTTTTTTTTTAAATAAAAAAACAATACCTAGTCCAATTAGGACCAGTGATTGATATAGAGATATGTGAGCTAAGCTAGAGGAATTAGTAAAGCGGGAGTGATCTAAATGTAAGGATTCGTTGGTAATAGTCAAACTGCAACACTCCTAATGTTTTAGGTAACCAAATCCAATTGCAAACTACTTCCCAACCCATCCATTTAGTCTCTACTTTTTATATATATATAACCCTCCAAAATCCACTAGGGAGAATGCAATCAAGAAAAAACCCTACACATATAACCGCCATCTCCCCTTTCTTTCCATGGCTCGCCATCTAATGATACATCATCACCACCATCATCACATCGTCACAACAATCACCAAGCATCTCTCCCTGAGCTTACCCCAGGCAGCCATGGCGGCCATGACAGTGGCCCTATGCGCCTTCGCCCTGTTCCTTTGTGCTTCACATGGACGAAGAAGAAGAAGATGGCGCAGCAGCCACTGGAGCTATGGTTTCGTCCCCGACCCAGTCATACAGCTCGAGAATCCTGGCGCGATGATGCTCGCGGGCTCTGGAGGACTCGATGGCGATCACTGTGATGATGGAGGAAGCAGCATGTTTAGCAGGGAGCAGAGTGGGATGAATCCGGTGTGGAAGAAGAACATCCTGATGGGAGGAAAGTGTCAGCTTCCTGACTTTTCAGGTGTTATTATATACGACTCTGATGGCAATCATGTCACTCCACCTTCCAACAAAAACTGCCCTAGGCTTACCTGGAAATGATTACCATCTACTGTACATATATTTTACATGGTCTCCGACAAGTTCAATATCTACACATGGTTATTGTTCAACTCTGTCTCGTTGGTTGCAGAGTGATTATTAATTGTTTCCGATGCTTATTGTTACTTTGTCACATTTATAAGGATCACGATGTAATTTTCTACTTAGTAGTTAGTATTATTCTCCACGTGGTAAATGAGGAATGAGATAGGACTATATCAGTTTTTCTGCCGTAAACTGAGAGCAGATCAGGTAAGTAACTTTAGAGTGAGTAAACATTAGTTATTCGTTCACATCAGCATGACATTAAAATCCTTCTCTTTTATGAAAAGTCTTTTTATTTATTCTCCTTTAATATTTAACAAATGATTTCTCTCTCGTTTTAAGTCGGTGTTTAAATTTTTTTTGCACAGACAAATCAAATTAATTGTGCTCTTTAAAATGATATCCACTTTGATATATTTTTCGAACAAAAAAAAAATTTGAGATATTTTTTTACCAGTCAATACCATATGGTTTTCAATAGGAGCATAACATATGGTAAGAAAGAGTATCATGATGTTATGAACATACCAAGACTGCAGGAAGGTTGAATACATGATAGTTAGTGATGGCAATTTGAACCCGCACCGCAGCAACGTGGGGCAGGGCATGGGTATCTACTTTCGACCTGCCCCGCCCCGTTCTAGACCAATTTTATCTCAATTTTTTAAGATAATTATACATATTTCTCCTATTTTGGCTTTTATTGAACTAGTTAGAGTCGATATTTCAACTTGTGAGACTCAATTACTCATTCTATTATCAACATTTTTCTTTCATAAAGTGTTTTTCCGATCCCTTTGTTTTATCATAAAAAGTAAAATTTGCTTGTATCTTTTCCAAATAATAGGTAAGAGTGGGTCGACCCGCTCCGCCCCGTACCTGTAGTAGCATGGGGCGGGGCATAGGAATTGAGGTACCCACCCTTCCCCATTGCCATCACTAATGATAGTAGGAGTATACTAACTGTCATTTATGACTTTTATCATTGTTTACACAAGTTACCACCCCATACCAGAGTGGTAAAGTATGGTAATTTTTGGTCATGTATTTTTTTCACTCCAGAAATGTGTAGGTCCAATATATTATGATGAACTCGTTCTTTCTGAGCAAATATTTTTAAAAACAACTTAAAAACGAAGAAGTTACCATATGGTATGGAGTTGGTAACGGGAGGTATGAAAAAACATTTCTAAAAAAATAGTGAAAATTGATCTCATTTTGTAGAGCACAACGAACTCGTTCCATCTATGCAAAAAAAAAAATTGAAATTCGAGTTAGAACGAAGAAGATAAGAGCCGATTAAGAAAACTAGGGAAAATAAAATGCATTTAATTCACAAGCCTTAGATAGCAGTTGATTTAGTAGCGAGGGCTGCAATAAGGGCTCTGTGTCATTATGTTAATAAAAAATGTTTTTCTGAGCCCACTTAGATGTAAAGGTCTAGATTTAATTACTCATATGTCAATAACCAATGGTTACTGACCTTATCTTCATCCCTATAAACTAGTCCTGCTAGTTAAGAAGGGAAAGCACCTGAATTGTTGTCTATGCGTCCTTTTATTCTTCCTCAATCATTGTATTTTACATGGATCAGAGTTATTAGTAGATTTACAGTTTGCCGTTCATCAAGAGTCTGCGTGAAGAACAAACTTTGAAGTCATTGTTGCCTCTTCAGCTTCATCGATCGTATCATCCAAACAAACGGTTTGTTAGCAATTTGGTTGCTGACGTCAACTGCGACGAATGGACTGGTGATATCATTGATTGCCACCTAGCCAATAAAAAACTCCGCTTTGTAGATGGAACTTTTCATATTCCAATGACTGTGGTCGAGCGTGAAGATTGGGAGTGATCCGATTTGCCTTGAATCGAACTATCAGCTGCTACGACTCGAAATCACAGGGGTCTCGTTGTTAGTTGGATTAGGGTTAGACCTAGGAGAAGTACTGTAAATACTTCTCATACTCCTCTATAATCTGTATCTGCTTGAAGTTTAGTGAAACTCGGTCTCTCCTGCCCGTGGACTAGCTAACACACATTGTGTTAGTGAACCACGTAAATCGTGTGTCGTGTGTGTGTTTGTGCTTTCGTTTTCTTGCATTGTCGAATCCTCCTATTTCTCGATCTGTAGAAAGTAGTCGTGACAAGTGGTATCAGAGCACCGGTTGGAAATCAAGCTAGGGTTTTGATTATGAAGAATGACGTCGATAAAAATGAAGATCGAGAAGTTCACGGAGAAGAACAGTTTCGGTATATGGCAGATCAAGATGCAGACTTTATTGTCTGATGACGTCATCACAGAAATTGTTGTTGAGAAAACTATCACGGGCTTGTGGTTGAAGCTGGAGAGTCTGTATATGGCGAAGTCTTTAACCAACAAGCTGCATCTCAAGCAAAACGGTTGTTCAACTTGAGGATGCAAGAAGGTATGCCTTTGAGGGAACATCTGGAACAACTTAATTATATTTTGTTAGATTTGCGCAATATAGATATTAAGGTTCATGACGAAGATGCTGCCCTATCTTGCTTGTTTCTTTGCCGAGTTCATATGAGAATTTCGTGGATTCTTTTATTGTTGTTAAAGATAGCTTGTCGTTGGAAGATGTCTGATCTGCCCTTAATTCGAGAGTGATCAGGCATAATGCACCACAAGTGGTGAAACATCGGGGTTGGCTATTACAGGTGGAAAGGGAAAGAAGAAATTTGGTAAGAGAATTCGAATAGAAACTCCAATTCTAAGGGTCTCAGTCCACAACTGATGCCTGTCATGCACATCTGTAAGGAAGTGGGACATTTGAAGTAAAATTGTCCCAGAAAGAGAGGGCATTAGAAGAACCAAGGTTTTGTTGCCGTGGCAGAAGTCGACAACAATTCTGAAGACGATCTCGCCTTGGCTGTAGATGAGAAGGCACATCGTAACGATGTGTGGTTTCTGGATACTACAACCTCATATCATATGTCACCGAATAAGGATTGTTTATCAACCTATGAGTAGATAGATGGTGATAACGTGGTTATGGCTAATAGGGTTGTCTGCAAGGTGGTTGGAATCGGATCCATCAAAATTCGGACATATGATGGTTCATTCTGTACTATGAACGAAGTCAAGCATGTTCCACAAATGATGAAGAATCTGATCTCCTTGATTCTCCTCGAAAACAAGGGTCTCGGTTTCAAAGGAAGAGGTGGAGTTGTGTATGTTTACAAAGGTTTGAGGAAGGTGCTGAAAGGCGTGAAGCGTGGGACCTTGTATGCATTACAAGGGTCTACGTTACGTTATCGGGTTCTGCTGCTATTGCATTGTCTCAGGTTCAGCGAGAAGATATGAACACTCTCTGGCACATAACATTGGGTCATATGAGTGATGAGGGATTCAAGTTTTGTCGAAAAGGGATCTTCTTTACAGGCACAAGGTACAGAGTTTGGAATTCTGCGAGCATTGTGTGTTTGGGAAGCTGCATTGCAGTAAGTTTTCTAAGAAGGGTATCCACAAGGGTATCCACCTGAAGAAGGGATACTAGATTACCTCCACTCCGACTATTGAGGTCTTTCCCGAGTTGAATCCATTGGAGGCAACATGTCTTGTCTGTCTATTATCGATGATTACTCAAGATTTACTTGGATTTTCATGATGAAGCAGAAAAGTGAAACCTTCACGAAGTTCAAGCATTGGAAAACTTTGGTGGAGAATCAAACTGGGAAGAAGATCAAGAGACTTCTAAAGAACAATGGTCTGGAAAGGAATCCAGCAAGGAAAGTTCATTGACGATATGATGATTGAGCAAAAGATTGGTGATGTTGTTTACAAAGTGAAGCTTCCTCTTGGTCCAACCATCCATCCAGTCTTCTATGTTTCCCTCCTGAAATGTGCTCAGGGTAGTTAGATCATATCCCAGCCTACTCTACATGAGTTTGATAAAGCTGGAAGCTCGAAGGTGTAACCATTTGTCGTTTTAGTTCGGCGATTTGTGTCTTGAGGGAAACTAGCCTCCACCCAAATAAAGGTCCACTTGACTCATAAACAAAAAGATGCCACTTGTGAGTTTATGGACACATTCAAGTTGCAACTTCCTACTTTCTAGTCTTCAGGACAAGTCTACTTTGAAGAGGTGGAGATTGTAATATTTTGGACCTAACTGTAAAGACTTAGAAGTTTGAAAGTAGAGGAATTAAAGTAAAAGGATTCAAATGTCATATGCCAAGCAATGGGCATAAATATCATGCTTGTTACTTTGAAACCGCTATCAACGAAAGAAAACAGATTTTCCTCGATTTTCTTTCCCTTCTTTCTCTATTCTATTATGTTACGTCTACGAGCTTCCTTCTTCTACAACTCCATTGTCGTTAGTATCTCAATTCATCAAGATCTCATGTTTTCCCGCAAGAAAACTTGTGTTGAATGGAATTGATTGCAACTTTGACTTCTAAACAAACGATTAACCAAAAACGGTCCACACATTTTCGAACAAAGTTTAAACAAGGGTGTTCGATGTTTTTGATTATCTAAGATACAAAGCTAAATTAAATGAACTCTACTCATATGGAGGTTCAGTGAGAACTCCAAAACTACAACTATGGCTATGATTATATTTGCATAGGAAAAGGTAAAGATAAAGAAGACATTGGGTTGTCTGATGTGATTTTTGCGAATCCTCTCTCTGTCATCTTCACCACCTATTTATAGCCACAAGAAGTAACTACTTTCAAAAACTGCTCTGCTGATGTGGACTGACGGTTACTCTTTTTCAACTACTCCACTGATGCACTGATGACGGTAGTGCCCTCCTCTTGAGACTTCGCGCCGTACTCTTGGTATCTTCTTCGTAGTTTTGCTTGTCTGTAGAAAAAAATGGCTAAAGCATGAAGGGTGATCATTTCCACTTGACTCTTTCCTTGTCAACCAAGGGGATAATATCAATCTCCCATCTTCACCATATCAAGGGGTGTCCCCTATT